CCCATTGTGTAGCTTTGTGCTTAATTACAAACAAAATAAAAACAAACATATCAGTGCTCATATTTTCAATCAATGCAACTAAAAAAAAACGATTAAAACTCTTGGACATTTTTTTTTCTTGAGACAACACTGATCACTTAACCTTATTCCAAATTTTATGAGCCAGTAATTGCGTAAGTACTATAAATATGTATGTACTTATATCTCTTAATTGTATCACGTTTTTTTTTATCTCATAATCAGTTAACAGAACATCGATTTTTGGTTTGGTTTGAAATTCACGCAGGGCTACACGAGGGCTATCTGCGCTAGCCGTCCCTAATTTAGCAGTAACAGACTAGAGGGAAAGCAGATAGCCAACATCATCCACCACCAACTCTTGGGCTACTCTTATCAACGAATAGTGGGATTGATCGTTATATTATAACGCCCCATGGCTAAAAGGACGAGCATATTCGGTGTGACGGGGATTCTAGCTCACAACCCTCAGATTGCGAGCCGAGTGCCCTAACCACCATACCATGTCAGGCCTCACATCATTGATATATGTTTGGAGGCTGCCACCTAGTGTTAAATAGAAAGTTTATTCGTGTGTTTATTTATCATAGCTTGATATTTATTCATAGTCCTCGAGCTTCATCTCAGAAACTAATATTTTCTATATATGTTTTATGAAGATAATTATTAAGATACCTAAAATACTCTCATATACGTATTTATATTCTAACAAGCTCTCTTTTTGTTTTCCTTTTCCTTTAATTAAGATGTTACAGGCCAATTGTAACGCTAAGTCTAAGGAGATTTTAATAAAAGGATTTTGAACGGTGCATATGAATACCAGGTGTTGTGGATAATGTCATGTCAAGAACACCTGGTTTTGTGGATAATGTTCTGCCAAGAATACCAGGTGTTGTGGATAATGTCATGCCAAGAACACCTGGTTTTGTGGACAATGTTCTGCCAAGAATACCAGGTGTTGTGTATAATGTCATGCCAAGAACACCTGGTTTTGTGGATAATGCCATGCCAAGAACACCTGGTTTTGTGTATAATGTTCTGCCAAGAATACCAGGTGTTGTGGATAATGTCATGCCAAGAACACCTGGTTTTGTGGACAATGTTCTGCCAAGAATACCAGGTGTTGTGGATAATGTTCTGCCAAGAATACCAGGTGTTGTGGACAATGTTCTGCCAAGAATACCAGGTGTTGTGGATAATGTTGTGTTAAGAATATCAGGTGTTGTGGATAACGTTCTGCCAAGAATACCAGGTGTTGTGGATAATGTTCTGCCAAGAATACCAGGTGTTGTGGATAACGTTGTGCACAGAATACAAGGTGTTGTGGATAATGTTGTGTTGAGAATACCAGGTGTTGTGGATAATGTTCTGCTAAGAATATCAGATTTTGTGGATAATGTCATACCAAGAACACCTAGTTTTGTGGATAATATTCTGCTAAGAATACCAGGTGTTGTGCCAAGAAGTCCGGATTTTATGGATAATGTCATGCCAAGAACACTTAGTTTTGTGGATAATATTCTGCCAATAACATCTGATTTTGTGGATAATGTCATGCCAAGAACACTTAGTTTTGTGGATAATATTCTGCTAATAACATCTGATTTTTTGGATAATGTCATGCCAAGAACACTTAGTTTTGTGGATAATATTCTGCCAATAATATCTGATTTTGTGAATAATGTCATGCCGAGAACATATATTTTTGTGGTTAACGCTCTGCCAAGTGAGGCAACTTAACATATTCCTTAAGGAATAATGGATTCATGAAAGAGGAAATGTGGGGGTTTAGGCTATTCAAACAAAATGAAGTAAGTCATAAAAAATACCCCCACATCTAATTTTACTTTTTTAAACCATTCGCTCTATAAATACCAATCCTTACTTAAAGAGTCTATAACTAATACATCTAAACACAGAATAAACGGTACATTATTAGTTTATATGTCAAGTGAATAAACATATTTTAGTCTACTAATACATGTAAATACAGAATAACGGTACATCATTAGTTTATACGTCAAGTGAATAAACATATTTTAGTCTATTAAGACACGTAAAAAGATTCCTATAACATACACACCTCCTGTGGTGGGACATCGAAAGACACCGTCCTGAGGTCAACTTTACAATATGTGTCGATGCAGGGGATGATGAAGAAGATTCCTGTAAATAAATATACAAATAAAAACAAATTTTTCTAGCCTATTACTACCTCGTGCAATCTGATTGGTAGAGAAGAATTAAAAACGCATTATATAATCAAACAATCTATCGTTTGATAACATAATGAGAAACTCAAACAAAATCCAGTTTTTGGTTGTCAACCATGGGCTGATCTCGTGATTATTTAAACAGAACTTTGATACTGCACGTAGTTATCTTATGATACCTATATAATGTTATTATTAGCGTTCACTCGGGATTTAGGAAAACATAACAAGCAGAAACCATAAGTAGTTGTTTTAAGTTCAGCAGATTTGTTTTTTTACAGATCAGATCTTCGGTGTACTATCCATAAAGTGAGGTCGGTGAAACTTGAGTATAACCAGTGTACTATCCATAAAGTGAGGTCGGTGAAACTTGAGTATAACCAGTGTACTATCCATAAAGTGAGGTCGGTGAAACTTGAGTATAACCAGTGTACTATCCATAAAGTGAGGTCGGTGAAACTTGAGTATAACCAGTGTACTATCCATAAAGTGAGGTCGGTGAAACTTGAGTATAACCAGTGTACTATCCATAAAGTGAGGTCGGTGAAACTTGAGTATAACCATTGCACTGTTTAATATATCGAAACCGATGATACTATGTAAAAATCTGGAGTTATTGAGTGCCACAAAATCGATGATCAGTACATATATTGAGCTAATTAGTGAAAAGAGACAGATGAAGCTAACTACAAACATTGAGTTATTTAATGGCATGTGTTACTAAATAAAGACATTGAGTTACATGTGAAACCAGGTCAATGATAGTAAATACAAACATTGAGTTATTTAATGGCACGCGTTATTTAATAAAAACATTGAGTTATTTAATGGCACGTGTTACTAAATAAAAACATTGAGTTATTTAATGGCACGCGTTACTTAATAAAAACATTGAGTTATTTAATGGCACGTGTTACTAAATAAAAGCATTGAGTTACATGTGAAACCAGGTCAATGATAGTAAATAAAAACACTGAGTTATTTAATGACACGTGTTACTAAATAAAAACATTGTGTTACATGTGAAACCAGGTCAATGATAGTAAATACAAACACTGAGATATTTAATGGAAGAAGCCCCGTAATAATAAGTATAACCACTGTGTTATTTATACTGAAACCGGTGATAATAAGTTAAGACATAGCATTAAAAGCGTCGATTTCTTACTACAGCAACATAAAAACAAAACATGGTGTAATTAATATCAACTTCCGGTAGACCATGTTTTTGTGATAGAGACGTTGCCTTGCATTAAGTGTGACGTCAATGGTGAAAAGATCAAATAATCCTCTCTGTCTTTTACACGACTATAAACTTCACGAAGCTTTCTTGTTTCAAGTATTATTATTACTTTCATATCTACTTATATACGTTCAAAAAGAGTTTATTAAACAGGACAAAGTAGAATTGTATAAAACATTGTTGAACATTTAAAACTAATACCAGCACATTAAGTTTTGTACGATTTTCTTACTTTTTTTATATATTATTTTCTTATTCTAGAGGGCGGGAACGAATTATCTAAATTCTCGATTCACGTCATTACAATGTAAAAGATTTTCTGAACGCCTACAGTTTAACAAAGATATTTTTCTACATTAGTATCTCGAGAGTTTCCATAACACATAGTGCAGACATGAGATCTGATCTGAAGAATTGTTTTAAAGGTCTGAGCCGAAAATTATTTTGAAACCTTTGGACATCGATGATTTGCCGTCAGATTTTTTAATCAATCAGTTCTTAGCTTATCAGATAGATATTAAAAAATCATTAGTTAAGTACGTAGTATGGAGCAGTAAATAGCTAACATAAGCATTTTCTTCATTTACACTATTCAAAAAGTAAACGATAATGAGATTTATTTAAATTTGTATGTTTTTAGTTTATCAATATTTTTTTTCAAACTTAGAATGCTTATTGTTCTAGTCCTGTCTAGGGTTTGCCAGTTTATACATCAATGATTCCTTATGTAAATAGGCCTTTATGAGAAATGACCCAAATTCCTAAAAGCTTGTTTGTTTATTTGTTTTGAATTTCTCGCAAAGCTACACGAGGGCTATCTGCGCTAGCCGTCCCA